CACAGCATCACGCGTCCCCTGAAACACACCTAATGCTCTAATGCAGCACAAGACACAAGATGCAGAAGCACACTTCAGAAGACACAGACGTCACACAGAACATGCCACCGCCAAGTGCAGCCTCACCTGCTTCTTTCCCACATATGCTTCTAAGCTTCAGGTCCTTAACCTTGATTATTTTTAGAGGTACCACGCCATTTCCACAGTCCTGGCTGATTTGTCTGTCTCATTGCCTTTGCCTTATTGTTTTATTTATTCACGTATTTTTTCATGTATTTATTTCTTCATCCATGTATTCATTTTCTACCTTGCTCCAAAATGGATATAAGGCAGCTCCCAAGAATACGCAAAATACGATGTGACAGCAGCAGAAATTCAAAGTAGATAAAGTGAAAGGGAAAACAAAACAAAACAAAGATAGGCACACAAAATGGAGTGGAGCCTAGAAGAAAGCTCATACAAGGTGTGCACACACCGCAGTCCCACTACAAGTGCTATACGTGGGCCAAACGCTTGGCGCCAAGCTTTCTAATATCCAACAGAAGAGAAACCTGATCAGTCTCACACGTCACAGGGTCCATAAAATAAAATCAAACCACGTGTTCAGAATGTCCTTTTCCTGGTCTAAATTCTGTAAATTTTTATATGGTGACGCATCATAAGACAGTGGCAAATTGTCCCTCTGACTTTGCTCTAACACCAAGATTCAGTTCCCAGAACCGCTTCCAACAAAGACAGATCCTCAATCTGGAAATTACGTTTACTACTTCTTTCTCTTCTACCTATCTCTTGAAGTTCCATTTGGTCAATGAAATGTGGCTATTAAAGAGACCCCTTAAAACAAACAAAAAACTCGGCTGTCACCAAAGCAAGCATTTTCATTTAACTAAAGAAATAGACAACATGACATTATTTATGACAAAAATTTGAATAGGATCCCAAATAACTGACCAAATAAATGGTTAAATCAACCATGATGCCACTATATGATGAAATATGATATACCATCAAAAATGATATTTATGAACGCTTTTTTAAAATGTAGGAAAATGTTCACTGAGTTTTTGAAAAAGCAGGATATAAAACTGTATATATTATGATTTTAACTATGTTAAAAAGCATACATATATATATATAGCCATAAAGAAGTCTGGAAAGAAAGCCATTAAAATATTAACATTGTTTCTGAGATTTGTGAATATGGGTGCTTTTTATCTTTTCTATATGCTTGTCTTTATTTTCCAAGTTTTTTATATCGATGAACAATTTCTATATGATGAGAAGAACTGGGGGAAAAAATACCAACCCAGCTACTTATCTTTGGCTTGTGAAATTATGGACAATTTTAATTACCTTTTTAAAATGTTCTATAACTGACATACAGATTTTAGTTAGGGCCAAAGTTACTTTAAAACAGAAATGGGAATTCTAAAATCTAGTTTTTTTAGTTGTTTGTTTGTAAGTTCCACAATGACAAATTAATAACACCTCACGACTATTTAGCACTTTTTAATTTTACTTTCAATAGCACTCTATTTAGAATTACATTGGATTAGCAACAATATTTTTGCTAGGTAGGCCAGGTCTGATTATCTTCATTTAACAGGTGATGAAACTGAGGATCAGAGAAACTAAGTGATTAGCCCAAAGTCACAAAAATCTGGCAGAGCTGGACTTCAACCCAGGTCTCCAGAACCCAAGTCCAGTGCTCTTTCCATTCATTCAAGACTGATTGTGGTATAACCCAGAGAGGGTTATAATCACCAAGATGTAAAAACACAGAGATAGTAACCCTTCCTTACCTATGAAGGTCAAGTTCCTGAATGACCCCCACCCAAGTAGGAGAGTTCAGCTGAGGAAATTATTATTTTAGGAGGTAAAAAAGGGGCAGAGAAACTGAGGTCACATATGAACCTTTGAAAGCCCTCATAAATATTTGTTTGTGCAGTAAAACAAAACAATGATGGTACATTACAGAAAACAATAATGAGAGTTGACATAGCTTAAATCAGTAAAAGTGACAGGCTCTATATACTTTCCATTTAGATCTTGAGATGACTTCCAGAGGTGATGAGAATGCACCACTTATTATGCCAATGGAAAATGGGGGTGACAGGGAAGCAATGAAGAGAGGTGGACTGTTAGTTCAAATCATGGATCTTCTTGCTCTCAGAGTCTTAACCTAAGTCCAATCCTGAGATTATAATAACTTACTTGGGGCTTTAGCCCTATCAAGCAAGCGAATTTGAGTGGCATGACTTAATGACTTTGGCTCCTCTGAAGATGCTTTCTGTCTTCTCAAGTCTGTTCTGAAGACACCTTAGCACTCCTGTATCGAGCTCAAATTAAATCATGCAAATCTGTCTGAAGGCAGCTTATCTGCTGCCTGGCACATATTCAAATGGCACTACTCAATGATTTAGGCTCTTCTGAGGTTGCTATCTTCTGAACATGGTGATGTGAAAAGACTCTTTGCACCTCTTTATAGAGTTCAATTAAATCATTCAAGCTTTGTCTGAAAGCAGCTTAGCTCTCCAGCAATGGTATTAAATGGCAC